AAACTTTATTCTCCCTTCACCTCCCAATTATGGCGTCAGGAAGGGCGGGTTTGTCTGCCCTCCCCTCCCTGAGGGGCGGGTGGGATTGCACGCCCCTTTTGGAGGGGCGTGGGCGTGGGCGTGCGGGGAGGGGGGAGGAGTGCGTTTATCAACACCCTCCTTTTATACCCGCAGGTCCGCCTCACCACTCAGTTCATTTCTATTTTTTTTCCTGATTCAAAAACAATTCCTCTTCCTAAAATAGAATCTTTCTTTGTTGCACATTTTGTTGTTTGTACCACACTATTCCTTTTATTAAAATGGAATGCCTTCTTGTTGCCCATTTCATCGCCTGTACTTCTTTTGTCTACTTTCTTTCATTTCTGGATCCCCAATTCCCTCTCCCAACTCTCAACCACACCCTCAACCAGGCTAGTAATTTTCAATGCTTGTTGACTGACGGGAATGCTTACCTCCTCTCGCTTTGTCTCATCTCATAAATGAACCTCTGTTTGCTATTTATGAATGTTCAGCATCATTTACATTTCCGCACAGATCACAAGTGATTGAAAATTTCTATGCGCACACCAATCCGGAAAGCCATCCTTTCCCCCAACCCATCGAGTTTTGCTTGTCAATAGCCGGTGCACTATCTCGTTTGTTACTACAACCGTAGAGACTCCTGAATTTGTCGCTCTCGAGAAGACCGGCTTCGACCAAACAGTCTCCCAAACCAGCTCGACTATACACTCCCACTTGCACTCGTGCAATCGGTCCTAATGGTAGGATCCTACTTTCACCCACTGCGGTCAAGAACCTGTTCAATTGCCCTGAGTTCAAACATCAGAAACAAGCAATTCTACCTTATAAGAAATGGAGATTGGTACATACACACTTTTTGTCTTCACTGTGTCTTAGATATATCATAGTTTGCTGAGGTTGTTCCCTCTGCTCGACATTTTCAACAATGACAGCGTTGACTCAAAGATAAAAAAAACAAAGTTTGATTTGATCCTGGCGTCTCATCTTGTCAGCCATCGTGATGCCAAGATGGTAAATCTTCTAGCTACACGTGGTGCAAAACTTAAGATGACAGAGTTTGAGCTCTGGGACTACAGAGTACGGTGGTTAATTCCAATGATTATTGGTAATTACAAGGTTATTAGATAGTAGAAATGAATAATTATATCAATAAATATTGATATAATTTAAACAGAGGGGCCTGATAAATCAGGGGTTGTTTAATCCCTCAAAGGTATCGTGCAAAAGCAGAGGATTTAGGTACCTGTTAACACTGGGGCCTGTGAACAGGTGTGGTTTAAATCCCAGAATAAAGTAGTGAGAATCTCAAGCAAGAAGGGAGCATAATTATGTACTAATGATGTCCCTTAAGTCTTGAGGTTCTGATAGACAGAGAATTAAAGCAAGAAACAATACATTACCAGACAGATGCAAATGTTAAGCATTTGGAACGGTGGGTAATCTAAAGTGGGTTGTAATAATCTGATGAATCATTATTTGGGGGGACAGAGGGCTCTTGATATACCCGTGGAGGCATCTGGGACATAAGGGTCAACTTGTGGGTGCTTCATGCATGGAGGCTGAAACATGTGACCATATCCCTGGAAATGTGCCACAGGTGTTCTGTAGAAGATGAAAGCTGAAACATGTGGCTATTTCCTTGGAAATGTGCCACACACGTGTTATCAATATACAAATGCATGTTTGAAACAGCAAATCAGTTTCAAGTCTTAAACCTGTTTATTAGCATATTTAATTATAAACATAAGCATATTTCATTTCCTGCTTGGAGGTACACCCTATGTCTTTAATGTAGATTTGCCGCATGAAGTAGTTGAAATATAGGGTACCTTTGAGTGAGGTACCCTAGGTTATTCTTCATGTAGATTAAGAATATTGATAAATAATAACCTTATTATTTGATCTTCTCATTTATTTCCTGCACTATTCATAGTAATATCTTTTTGTATCTTCTACAGTGTTTGTGTACTATGACAGGTTGTCTCTGCTATAGTAGCAAGCTGACATTCCCTACCCCTAAGATGAGTCTCTGACTCACAGTTAATTATTTTTCTTGAGAAGCAGAAACAGATCAAGTATCTACAATACCTTCTTGTTCCATGTTGAACATTCATTATTTATTTGTCTGTATCATCAATCATAGTTTTCATCAGTATCCAATATACAGGGAGGTTATGGATTTGCGGTCAATATGAAATAATTGTTGCTCCTAATTAATACTTATCTTGATTAATTTAGATTTATTATCTCAAATGTTTCCTCAGGTTCAGGGATTTCTTTGAATATAACTGGCTTTCCAGTTCAGGGATCATTGGATTTAACTGGATTTCCCGGTTCAGGGATTCTTAAAATATAACATGAAGAGTCACTCTTGATGATAGATCTTAGATTACTTTTTCAAGGATTTTTAGAGTTTGCTGATAAGCAAACAATTTTGAAACACTGGGTCTTGGCCCAAGATTGAACTCAATAGACCTGTATCTCAATTCTTTATATTATGATATGCCCTTAGATTTTTTTATTAAACAGTAGCCATAAAAATATACAGTGAGGTTTACATTCATTAGAACATGGACTTGGATTTCATGAAATTTGTTGTAGTCCTTTTTACCTCCGCTGGTAGTGAAAGTCTCTAAATCATTTGAAATGAATTGCAGTGAAAGAAAAAAAGGTGCTATGAAGTCTTCTTATGGGAGTGATACAATAGTTCTAGAAGTCACAAGTCTTGTTGCTTTGCCTATCAGTGATATCAACCTCAAAGTACTTGATCTCTAAACCTGATAGCTTTAGTTTTCTTTCTCTCCTGCCCAAACCAATCTAATGAGATTCCAGGAAGCCTGACCAAGCTTGTTCCTGATTTTACTCTGTTTCCTTCGGTCGGTAAACGCGAAATGCTGACTATGGTTTGCAATGGCAATCCTTGGTTTGACCTCCAGACATGACCTTGAATCACATCGCTTTAGTGTTGATTCAAGGTTGTTTGATTGTGCTTGAAGTTTTACCTAGCTGTTGTCTAATCGCTTGAATCTGAGTTGATCAAGTTTTATCAATTGAGACTGGGTACTGGTTTGACTAGATGTGGTGATAGCATTGCTGATAAGGTACGGTAGGAGTAGAAGAAGCTTAAATTCAATCAAAATGACCATGAACAAGACAATTGACCATCTTTGCCTTGATCTTATGGCAGGCGGGGTCATTGTTCTTGATCAGCTGGATTGTACCTTTTTGATTGATCATCAAGGCCGAGGTCTTCCAATCTTGAAGTTTTTTATCAATAAACAGATTATGTCTGTACCCAGTCAAGGCCGCTTTTGACTTCACTATATTTCAATCGGTTGCTAACTGTTGGATTTGTCAGCCTTCTGAATCAAAATAAAACACCCTCTCTTGATTGATTAGGATAGACTAAATTGCAAGTGTGAAAGAAGAGATAGACAAGTAATTCAGCTCAGTCAGCCAGAAGAAGAGTCCTAAACTGATCGGAGATATTAATTCTTGTGAGTAATAGTTGAGAAAGGCAAATTAAAAGCCCATTTTGATCCTATCTAGGTCTACTTCTGGGATTTGAATTGTCTGATTAGAGCAATTGATCTCGCTCCTTTGGGATAGCCAAGTCTGATTAAATTCAATAGCATGAGATGGAAAGATGGATTGTAAGTGTTCAAAGGATGATTCTGGCTCCAATGCCAATTAACAGGGATGTAGATAGGCTGTTACCTGTGCATTTTCTCTTGTGCGACTGGACATCTCGTATGATAATGCCGTATAGAAGTCGGAGCCGGTTGGCTGGTGGTGTGGTTGTAAGTTGAGCAGATGGGCCAGATAATGAGAATAAGAACGATTAGGAGATCGGACTATAAAAATAAATAGGCAGTGGTTGAAGGTAGCTTGGCCTCAAGCTAGAGGTTTCTTGGTTGCCCAAGTAGATGAACGCTTCCAAGTCAATAACGAAGATGAAGTCAAAAAACAACGGAATGGTTTTCTTAGCTAACCAAAAAACTATGATGGTGAAGCAAAAATTTGATTTCCAAAAAAGAATAACAACAACGGATGGCTTCTTCTGTTTTAGTCCTCTAGACTAACTACAGACTCTATTCTTCTAAAAAAAACAAAAAAAATGATTGATCCTCCGAGTAGAGAGGTTTGTTCACGGTCACAAGATAGATTTTATGAAGTACATTGAGCTGAGGGACTCAATAATGAGCCTGTAGGATCAAGAGCATTGACTGTCAATTCTGAGGGAGGATAGAGATTGGGTGATGGTTGAGATGAGGTGCGTTGTCAGCTTAAACAAGCGACTAAGGAGTGTCTGTGAATCCGGCTTTGAGCATGAGCTAGACTTCCTCCGAGGTTTGACTGGCACTTGCACTGTTCTTCTCCTTGGTTGTAGTCAGTTTTTGACTTGTCAGTCAGACAGGAGATGGAGGAGGAAGGGAAGATCAACATCAAAACATCTTTGATTCAAAGTGCACGACAGAGACATTTGATCCAAGCGTCGAAGAGGTTCTTATTCAGATAACAAGCCGATGGTTGCTCGATCGTCTCTGGATTGCTATTCGGATGAGGAGGATGGAGAGCTTGATGGACGAGGAAGGCCCAGCCATCGAGAGCTCTAAGATTCAGTCTTCCGTCACCATAGCATTCAATTTAAAACCCAGCAAGATCAAACATCGTCGCAAAGCTAGCGTTTGACATCCTTCTGAAACCGTTGGTCTGTCTTCTGAGTTTCGTCTTCCTAACGTGGGAGGGGGGGAGAAGAATTGATCCCATATTGTCCAGGCCTTATTGTCCGATGTAGGAGAAGGCTTTGAAGGGCTGATGGATTAGTTTTCCGTCCGGCTCGAGATTGATATCTAGCTTGATTAGCGTATGGATCTGTTCCAACTGTAGTCTTGTCAATAGATTACATGGGTTTATCCGGACCACCGAGCCGTAGTGATTTGAGGAGGACCACATAGGTCTGTCCATCGATGGGGATCGAGGCCTGTTTCATGTGCTCGAGGATTGCTATGAGTTGGGACATCGGCAGGGCCTGAGCTCTCTCTTCCACCATCCGGGGACACTCGCACAGAGCCAGATAGTCGCGTAGCAGACGCTCAAAGAAGCGTGGGGTTGGTCGGCCGAGTCTGCTCCGTCGCTCGTAGAACATGAAGGCCTCCTCGCGGTTCTTGGCCCGAGAAGCTCGACCATCGTAGATTCCTCCATCCTCTGTTTCCCTTCTAATGGTTTCAATCAGCCAAGTCCTGTTCTGAGAATACTTCTTAGATGGTCAGGTTGAGTTGTCGGAGGATGGCTCAGATAGTGGTTAGCCAGTTCTGGATCGATCTCAGCAAGAGTTGATTGCCAAGTAATTTGATATGAAATGTCCTAGTGTTGGTCTGAATGAACTATCTCAGGTTGGTTGTAGGGAGGTACAGATCATGATTGAGGGCAGCTCCTGCAACATCTATCAATTGAGGGTGATGGCTTTCTCTATCTTCACTGGCCATTTGAATTTTGGTTCCGCAACTTCTGAGAATGAAAATTGTTTACTTTCATTGGCCGACACATAGTAGAATCGTAGATCAGCAAAGTCTTGATCTCGAATTGGTCTTCAATCTTTTCAGTCATTTTTCTACTTCACAACTTGGATTCGGGAAGGAGTAGTGGTTTGATCTTTGACTTTCAGTCAGATCCAAAGACTTCACTTGGTTTTGAACTGGAAAGCATCCGGTATTCAAGAACTCTGATATAAGTGTGTTCCAGGCAAAGAGGGATAAGTTTTAAGTTTTTGATCTCTTTGTTTTTGGAGCGCGCATGAAAGTGATAGTGATCGATATTCATAATGATATGTTTTAAATGATAAACATTTATTGGGTCCTTTTTCTTTCAAATGGTTTGAAGGAAAGTTTCCCGGCCAGACCCCCAATTGTCAGCCATCGTGATGCCAAGATGGTAAATCTTCTAGCTACACGTGGTGCAAAACTTAAGATGACAGAGTTTGAGCTCTGGGACTACAGAGTACGGTGGTTAATTCCAATGATTATTGGTAATTACAAGGTTATTAGATAGTAGAAATGAATAATTATATCAATAAATATTGATATAATTTAAACAGAGGGGCCTGATAAATCAGGGGTTGTTTAATCCCTCAAAGGTATCGTGCAAAAGCAGAGGATTTAGGTACCTGTTAACACTGGGGCCTGTGAACAGGTGTGGTTTAAATCCCAGAATAAAGTAGTGAGAATCTCAAGCAAGAAGGGAGCATAATTATGTACTAATGATGTCCCTTAAGTCTTGAGGTTCTGATAGACAGAGAATTAAAGCAAGAAACAATACATTACCAGACAGATGCAAATGTTAAGCATTTGGAACGGTGGGTAATCTAAAGTGGGTTGTAATAATCTGATGAATCATTATTTGGGGGGACAGAGGGCTCTTGATATACCCGTGGAGGCATCTGGGACATAAGGGTCAACTTGTGGGTGCTTCATGCATGGAGGCTGAAACATGTGACAATATCCCTGGAAATGTGCCACAGGTGTTCTGTAGAAGATGAAAGCTGAAACATGTGGCTATTTCCTTGGAAATGTGCCACACACGTGTTATCAATATACAAATGCATGTTTGAAACAGCAAATCAGTTTCAAGTCTTAAACCTGTTTATTAGCATATTTAATTATAAACATAAGCATATTTCATTTCCTGCTTGGAGGTACACCCTATGTCTTTAATGTAGATTTGCCGCATGAAGTAGTTGAAATATAGGGTACCTTTGAGTGAGGTACCCTAGGTTATTCTTCATGTAGATTAAGAATATTGATAAATAATAACCTTATTATTTGATCTTCTCATTTATTTCCTGCACTATTCATAGTAATATCTTTTTGTATCTTCTACAGTGTTTGTGTACTATGACAGGTTGTCTCTGCTATAGTAGCAAGCTGACACATCTCCTTACCGTCAGGTATCTCAACAAAGATGCTTCTAATCTTCACCGCTGGGTATCTTAACACAGATAATGAAAAGAAAAGCGTACATGTTGGTTCCTTTTGTTGGGCTGCCATCAAAATCGTTACATTGCATCTATCCCAATCTCAACTGGTTACCCCCGCCTTCCTTACAAAGCATAATAAATTGATCCTCCGCATTCTTGCCAGCCACCTCCAACCCTCAATCAGCAAAAAATATCCTCCACAAAAACCAACCATTTCCTTTCCAGAGAATATTCAACTGTTGAGATTAAATCATCCAATTGTGCCAAAATCAGCTACGGCCTCAACCAGGCCTACTTATGAAGTTCTACAGTGTTGTTTGTCCTTGAGGTTTTCAATGAGTGTGGCAGCATGGGATGCCATACATTCTGATTGGTTACCTAAATTGGTTGCTGTTCAGTGCATACACTGCATGCTACTCCATGACACAAATGACATGGAAACTCCATGATGGGAATTCAATGATTTGTTTTTTTTTTCATTTAGCTATGTATGCCAATTATAGCCTGTCTTCTGTGAGATTGAACTCTCTGCCCCATTTGAATATTCAGGGGGGCTGAATTTTGTTGTTGAATCAAAGATATAACAAGTTGTTCTGTTCTGAAGAAGAACAGTAAAAAAAACGAAAACTCTTAGAGACCGTCTTACCGAGTGTACTACATAATTTTATGTTCTGCATCAAATTTAGCATCCAATGATGCAAAGTATGTGCATGTAGCATGCTTATTACAGTCAGGCATACAGCCCAAAGTGGGCAATTTTTTGCGGAAAGGGCAGGGTCGGTTTTTGCCATCCGCAACTGTATACATATGATACCTAGGATAATGCTCATGCATGAACCTGAACTTGAGTTCAACACAACTTTCTCTAGATTTCAATATCCAGTGGTTAGTGAGTTTTGTTTGACAATAAAAAATGTCATGGGTAATCTCTAGATAAGGTAGGACTTTGTTTACTGTCTTTAGCCATGGTCAGTTGTATGTGGCATTGTCATGGGTCACTTCCTTAGATAGTCTTTGTATTGGTCTGCTATCTGAGACTGGAGTAAAACCACATCAAATGTTGTAAATAAAACATTGTTGAAGTATCACAAATTGTTGGAATATGCTTATATCCTGCATATAGTATGCTTCTACCATAACACAAACAACCGTGTATTTAGTCTACACTCAGTTGTCTCTGGAGTTTCCCTCCTTAGTGAATCAAAATCATTATTATTCTCACTCAGAAGTGTCACAAGAATTTTAGTCTGTGAACTTCAGTTTCTCATCCCCTGTCTTGTCCAACACAAATGAATTATTTAAACTATAACTTTGACCTTGTAGTTATGTGTAAATTGAATGAACAAATTGATGAACGTGGCGCCAGCCACGCTATTCCCTAGTATAATCATAACTAAGTAAAAGCATACAACCAGTCCCACATACAGGAATGAATAATCCAAATTATTCTGCTACACTTTAATACAATAGAAAACTCATTTGTGTAGCTGGCTGACCCAGAGTTTTCATTGATCCCATTTGGCTTCCATTGTAGGAATTCAAGAATGTAATAATTGTTAGATATGTACAATCAAAATTTGTTTCCATTCACTTGCTACATGTAATGAAGAAAAGGCCAGGGGGATACCAGAAATGGGTTAGTTATGCTAATGATAGTGTTGTATCAATTTAACGTTGTGGATTGAAGCAGCGGTGGGCTGCTACGCTACGCTACACTACACTTTTGGCCCAAAAAGGGTAGCGGAGCGGCGCTTTTTTTCATCAAAAAAGTGTAGTGTCAACATTTTTAGCGGTTTTTTGCTACACTACGCTGCGCCACAGCGCTTTTTGTCAGCTGGCAAGCAAAACCCAGTTACCCCTTAAATAGTTGACTTAATTTTTTGCTACACCAACTGCATGTTTCATACATTTCACACTCATTTCACTCATTTTCTTATTCATTTCACTCATTTCATTATTAACATACTCTACATATGCTTGTATCTAGTTGTCCCTGCCAAGCTGGATATATAAAGTTGTACGGACTGAAGTCTATTGTTCCCCAGACTTTCAGAAGAGACGAAATAATAACCACCCTTTATTTTACATCATTCCTCTTTATCTTGAAGATACATCAACACATCACTACTTCAACCTAGCGTACTCCTCTTAAATCACCAAATCACTGTTTGGATCTCAATACGCCTGACTGTCTCAAAACTTATCAACGGCCTGGGCGTGAACTCTTTGGATCAGATCAGTATCTTACTACGACGTGGAGCCACTGGACGGATCCAGTAAACTTCCATCGAGCGGATACTAGTCACCTTGGAGTAACCCACCGCTGACACTTTTAGCGGAAAAAGCGGCCAAAAACTGCTAAAAAGTGTTGTAGTGCAGCGTAGTGGGCCCTTTTTTGCGGCCCACACGCATAGCGTTAGTGGTGTCATGGCGGAATTATGCTATGCTACACTTAGCGGTAACATCAATTCCGCTGTGTTACGCTACACTAACCGCTACGGTTAGTGTAGCGGCCCACCATTGATTGATGCTGAAATTTGGTGTAGCACAGAATAATTGCTCCACATCTGCACTAAAACTACTAAAACTCCCAAAATGTACCCAATGGTGGGCCAGCTATGCTAACTGTAGCGTAGTGTAGCAAAAAGACACTACACTTGAGCGTAGCGTCAGTGCTCTTTTCCTTTTCTGCGCTAACACTACGTGAATGGGGCGAAAAAAGCACTATTGTTTAGCGTAGCGTTAGGGCAATTTCCCCCATCTGTCCTAACGCTACCCATCTGTGCTAACGCTATGTGCACAGGGCGTAAAGAAGCACCCACTACGCTGTGTTACAGCAGTTTTTAGGAATTTTTTGCCGCTAAAAACACTTTAGCGTAGCGGCGCCAGAGGTGCGCTAACATGACACCAAAAAACAGCTAGTGTTAGCACTGCTAAAAATCAGCGTAGCTCAGTGGCAGTAGTGGTGCACTAACACTACGCAAAAAACAGCAGCTGTTAGCGCTGCTACGCTAATGCTAAATGGGCCTATAGTGTGGCGGCCCACCGCTGATGTGCCCACTATGCTACTCTAGTGAACTGGTCAGTGTGTTTTCTTCCCTGTAATAGATTGGCTGTTAGTGGCCCCCAGCTCAGTTCATAATTCCAGAGAAAACAATGGGCTACACTACAGGCAAGTATTATGGGATGTGTGACAAAAAATGAGGAAAGTAGAAGTTAATCTATGAAATTCCAGTGGACTTCATTGAGCCAACGGTGCAACAGATACGATATGATACGGTATCAGGGTTTTATTTGTATTGTCTCAGAATTTGAATACCCAAAGATACCAGATTTGTGTTGTCTCACTTTCCTGAGAAAATACACATGTATTTATGGAACAAATAGGCGCAGAGAGTCTTTGATAGACCGACGAAGTGTGAGTCACTACACGAGATGGGATGAGAAGACACGAGCAAGCACACCTTTGATAGACCGACGAAGTGTGAGTCACTACACGAGATGGGATGAGAAGACACGAGCGAGCACACCTGGTTGTGCGAAGAGAGTTGAAACAGCGAAATGAAACTGAATGAATTTCATGATCATAGAGAATGAGAATGAGAGAGAGAAGAAAAGAGAAACCAAATAAGAA